TTCCATTCTTTTCAATGATTTTAGGGCCAATAACAATTCTGTATGTGCGTATCAAACATACAAATCCATGCGCACGTTTGTGTCGACATACAGTGAAAAGATGCCAAAATCATGCCTAATTTTAATCAGTTATAGTTCCTTAGGATGCATGATGACCCCCTATTTTTATTACATATTCTGAAAGTACTTGAGTTGTAGATATGATTTTATAGATCATTATGGCTGATCAGACATTGTGACGTCACCATATTTCCATCTAAATTGAAAATACTGAATTTTTATTTATGACGAATTATTATACTCATTTGAGCGTATACGGTAACGCTTATCCTTGATCGATCATCTCCCAAGTTTCAGTATATTATAGCTGAGACAATTTTATTTCATAATTGTGCCTTCCATTTTCATTTTGATCATTGTCAAAATGAATGTTTTTTTTCTCACCCCCTCATTTTTTCCTTTCAATCTTTGTGAAATTCTATGATTCATCATAAATCGACCTCCGCCAAAGGGCGGCAGAGGTTTTAGAACGCTAACACAAGTATACTTCATATCAAGGGTCAAATTCATGTGCCGTTTATTTTTAAATTGTCAAGATCACCTTTTGACCAATTTAAAATACGTTTCAGGCCATTTTTGACACTTCAAAATTTTCTCACTGATAAAAACTATCGGATCCTGCACATCACCTAAAATTTGTCGATTACGAATTTCAATCTTATTATTATTTAGGTTGCACAGATTGATAAAGACTTCTATATATTTATAAATAAATTAAAAAACATGACAAGCAAACTGAAAATAAGTAGAGTGGAATTTTTGAATAACAAATTAGCTATAGAGACAAACAGATCTATTTATCATTCTTTGCCATTCAAGTGCCATTTATTAAATATACACAGAAAATGATCTTAAGGGAGCAGTCATAAATTGGAGTTTCTTTTTTTTCTTTCATTTAAAGTGTGTGATTAAAAGTATCTTCTTTCCATTTCAATTCTTAGTTTCTTAGAATCAATTTCAGAAATGGCTTTGACATACGAGATGGATTTACGCCATACCTTGATACTGAGTGATGCTATATAATACTTTTCTTCATTTAAAAAAGATATAATTTTACTAAAACACAGAATCATGTTACCAATATGGAGCCTTGCATTTTTGACACCTCTCTTCTATCAAATGCCATTTCAATCATTGTGTGGCTTTTACTTTACAACATGTATTTCATTTTATTTAATGTTTTTAACAAAATTATATTTAAGCTTTAATAATATAATTATATTATATGACTATAATAATCATTTTAGTCTCTTACTCTTAGTCATATTTTTAAAAACAATGTTCTCAAGACCTTTTTATAGTTTTTAATGTCTTTCCATTCCTCTTTTTTCGTCCTTGTTCCTCTTGGAATTTTATGTCTGTTATTGATCGAATAAATTAATTGAATTGAATTATTCACACTTTTGTACTTCAAAGAATTTACTTAGTTACTGTAATTATGTTTTCTTCTTTCTTTAACTCTCAGGATGTCAATTTTAATTTTAACTAACTTTGCTTTGGGAATTAAATCATTTAAATTATGGTAATTTTGGTACAAATTGTCAAGGGATAGGAGGATTCAACTAGCTATGTTCTGACGATCACTACTATCCGATGCAAGTAAATAAGAAATCCAGTCATGGTCTCATCAAATTCTATTAATTAAATCATTTAAATTATGGTAATTTTGGTACAAATTGTCAAAGGATAGGAGGACTCAACTAGCTATGTTTTGACGATCACTACTATCCGATGCAAACTAATAAGAAATCCAGTCATGGTCTTATCAAATTCCATCGTATGTCTACATGAGAGTTAACGGATAGTTACAGCGCTTATAGACTGATATAAAAAGGTTGAAGATTAAAGTAATTTCTGTTGATCTCATGGTCATGTTTCAATAAAACGAAGATGACGAAACAGAAATTACATTAGGCCTAGGCTAGGCTGAATTCAATGATGAGGGCCTACCTGGGCTATGCCTGCTTGGGTAGGCCATCCCAAACTATCGATAAACAATATATCGATAAATATGTAACATCCAATAGTTTCATCTTTGCTTGGTAGAGCATTCTGTAAAAGCGAACTAACAGACCCTCTGATTTCTTTACTCACCTAGCCTATAGGCGTGCTCACTTAGGAGATTTTTGGCAGCAGTTAAACCGAGTTACTACATGTATGAGTACGTTGTTCTTGTTAGAGTGAATGAATTGTAGTGGCTAAATAAGGCTACCGTAATTAGTTGTAATCTCAGAATCATGTATCTCACCCACGTTCGCCGTATTTCTTACAGCCGTATCTTTAGACACAGCAAACAAACTACCAAAGAATTTGTGGATTTCCCATGAAAATTGATATAAAGTTTAAACGAACGGTAATAGAAATTTATCCTGTAATGTTTTATTTGGATTCCCTTTGACAATTCTAAAGTCAAAAACAACTCAAAAAGGTAATTTCAAAGATGCTTTGGTTGATATTATGAATCAACTAGGCCTAGAATTGTCGCGAAAACGAGACTGTGGTCAAGCTACAGATGTTATTACAATCAACATGTGGTAAGCCAATTAATCAGCGGAGTGGCCTGACGTTCCTTCATATGAGAGCCTTCCCAATCCGGTGATTTGTCGGACTTAGCTTGCGGATTGAAGCACAATTGTTTTCAAGCAGGTGATCTCTTTCATATTGCTGGGGTGAGCCTCATAACAAGCGCTTGTTCGATAACCGTGAGTAACTTACACCGTCGGAACAAGGTTATACTACAAGGTTTTGTGTAGAGAGCTAGAGGCTATAGGGTACCGACACAACTTCAAATGCAAATTCAAATTACTTCTATTTTGCACATAAGCGTGGGTAGCCTATAACAATTTACACAACTCATGCATACTGTAACAAGTTTGTAGCGTAATTATAAAAAATACAATTAGACTTGATATATACATAGTTTGTCTACAAAATTTGTTTTATTGCTTGTTTTATATACTTATTATTTCAACATACAAACTGAACTAGACAACAGAGTGAGTTAAAGTATGTAAAAATCAAATATCATTTAGATTAAAATTACGTATCGATCCCTCCCTACTTAATATTTTTTCCCCACCTGGTGAACAGGAAACAATTATTTTTTTCAGGATGGCATATAAGTAAACTTTAACATAGATATATTTATTATTATTTAAAAAAATTAAATATTCCATAATATTTGGAAAGAATGTTTCTTCCAAATGGTGCACTAAGGTATGGTACAAAATGATATTATTGCTCAGTGTACTTTTGACTATTAACTGAACCACTCTCATTAGTATGATAAAATTTCATCCAATGCCACATTAGCCCAATGTTTAGCTGTTACTGTATTATTCAGATTCATACCTTTAAATGACAAAATACTAGCAAAAAAATCAATCAAACTTTTGTTTGTTCTGAACTTTGGAACTTCAATCACTACCTACAGTAAATGACAATTTTCGTAAGCCGGGCCTCACTGTGCCTGATGGTCATCGCGATTCGATGTAGAACGCAACGCCATGATGCACACACAACAGATCGTTTTTACTGACGATCCATGCAGACAGCCATTGACAATCAGCTGACAGCATCGCGTCGTTTAATGCTGACAGGGAGCGAAGTTGGATTTGTAACGACACAGCCAACGAATGACCGTATATGACCATTGTACAAAGCATTGAGTGTCTGGCACCAAATTAACATTTTACAGTATCCGATTAAGTTCTTTTTTATTCTGTCAATGACAATGATTTGTTCAAAGTCACTGACAGGAAAGACCTAAGGTGTTATTTTTTACTTTAAATTTATCTTGGAATGCTTAATTTAAAGCAGTTGTGCCAAAAGTAAATCCAGTACTGTATGGCTCTTAAGACACTGTTTTTCAAGTAATCTTAATGCTAAACATGCTTTAAGCATATAAAGCCAATGTTGTTTGCAGAATTCTTGAGTGTTATCTGCTTACCTCTATGGTCTTTCTTCCAAATCAAATTTAAGTCTTGTCAAATTTACATGTAGTTGAAGGTGTTCAGAGGAGGGTAACCAAATTTTATTCTCAATTTTAATAGTTTTGACAACTAAAGGCTTCCCTATATTAAGCCTACATATTTTCTAGATCGTTTACTGATCTCAGTATTCCGTGATATCTAAGTTCTTTCTCATTCTTTTCGAAATTATCTGTTACTTTTTCTGTTTTAACTCCTCACTTTCTTCAACATTCATCAATTTCTCTAGTCTTAAGTTTCAGATATTATTCTACAAAATAATGTACCATTGTAATTTGTACATAGTACTAGCCATTTGGCTGCACATTTGCATGTGCAGCCAAATTTGCAAATCTGAAATTTAGCCTACCATAACAAATAAAAAAAGGTTAGAGACAGATTCTGTTTGAAACAGTTTGTGATGACAAAATGTTATACTCAAAATATAATTTTTCATGATATTAAGATCTTACATAAGACACAATATAGGCCTACACTATAGAAAATGGTTTCATGCTCACAGTAAAGCAGGTGGTTTGTATCTAGAAAATCAAGCAACAAATTTAATTGTTCATATAGAAGAAGTCATATTACGGTAAGTATCAAAAAAGGCTTTTTGAAGAAAGGTGATTATAAATGAGTTATCAACATCAATTAAAATTACACATACGATACACGAGTAATATTTACTACAGACTACTACTATATACACAACTCAGATATGCTAATTTTCAAAATGTATGCCTTAGGGCAAATAGAAAAATTTATTACATTATCACTTCCGCCCGTGTCAAAAATTTTGAAAATATTGCATTATAAAGAAATGCTTACAAGTGCCTTCATTGTATTATTTATTCATAGACGCCACCCCCACCCCCATTCAGGGGGGGGGGTCTATTCAAAGCAGGGCATTTATTCAAATAAACAATTTAGTTTGAAAAATAATGCAGTTGAATGAGTACATATACTTACAACAATGAGATTCCAAAGTCTGGCTGCCTCAGCAACTGGTGTAGATACACTGCTACACCCTGATAACAACATGATCATCTGCGGCTTGTCATACAGCAGTTTGTAAAATATATTTGTACCAATGCCTGGATTGCACTGTAAGAAATAAAACAAAATATTCAAATTTTTTTGTTTTTTTAAAATTAAACTTATAGGTCATAATTTTTGTATTTTTGTAAAATTTAATTTTTTAACATCAAATAAGCAGATAATCATTATGTCTGTTATTAGATATTTAAACAATTTACTACACACTAAAATAAAAAACAATAGAAAAAAAGTAACATTATTATTTTTGTAAATTATTTACAGTTTGATATGGTAGATTGAGTCTGAAATGAAGTTGAAATGAAATGAATTATAATCAGTTTCTTTTAAATTATATAAGAAACAAATAGAGTGAATCGTATTTAATATAAAAACTGACAAGTGGACATGAAGCAGGCAGGAGCTCTGTACCTTAGAATTATATTTACTTGACTTTATCATAATGCTCTCACTGGGATCGTAGAGCCACTAAAAATCAATTTAGTTCGCTTTTTGGCAATCCTGTCCAGCCAATTGAGTTATTTTTCTCCTCTATGTCACTTTGTTTTGTCAGCTTTATTTTTCTTTGTAAGAAGAGTATTTGTATAATACTATACTCTTTTAGCAAAATTTCACAGAAACTAAATAAAAAAAAATTCAAAATATTGTACAGCATATGCAAAACTATACAATGACAAAAAATAGAGCTGGTTACAAAATACTGGTACAGTTACGAAAGATTATGAAATAGAGACGGTTTCAGTATTATCAATATTTCAATTCAGTAAAGAGTTGCATTAAAAATGGCAGAGTCACGTAACAAACTAATGGCATTTACTATTTATAGTACAACTTGAAATAAGATAAGCTTTCTGTAAATAGATAATCAAATTCCTAATAATTAGTAAAAAGAATCTTACTATTTCTATGTGAGTTTGCATCAGGAAAATATAGGAGTGATGTTTTGCACCACCTGACATGTTATTGTACCGAGTACTCAGTACGTCCCTAAATACTTTAGCATTTGCAGTACCTGCTGCTACTTGGGGATCGGATCCAACACTAGCCACTAAGCGCAAACTCGGTAGTCTAGTGGTTATGGTGCCAGGCTAGTTATCTTGATGGTCATGGGTTCAATTCCCACCCGAATCACTTGCAAATCACTTGCTCTTTTTCACAAGTATTTTGAGACGTACTGACTATTCAGTACGATAACCACGGCAGGTGGGGCAAAACATCACTCCTATGATAATCTTACTGACATGAAGCATATTTAACTAAAGCCATCAATGTGCTACAACAGACAGCAATGTTGAAACATAAAAAATGACATGCTACATTTGAAATGATCTTTTGAAGAACGTGAACCTGTTTTTTGTTTGTAATTTGCTATTTTAAGCCTCGTCTTATACACGGTAATGCTTATGGTCACACACCTCATCGTGGCATCGCCAAACGGGGGTACTTGCTTGTTCCACAAATGAAATTTCTTCCTATTGGATTTCCCTTTGAGTAGTTCCTGCATTGATATAGTTTCATCAATGCTAGAGTAAAAGAGAGGGTGAACTACTAATTTAAGCATCTGTGTCTACGTCAATAAACAGCGGTTCGTATTACCGTTATCTTGAAAATTTGGAATGTTACAAGTGTTGTTTTATACATTTCAATTATTATCATTATAATAATACATAATAATTTTATACATTATAATTATTATCGGGAGGGGCATAATGGAGATTGTTACCACACCTGAAGGGTTCCGCACCCCAGAGGACCAAGGCCATTCTAGCAGGCTCGAAAACTTTGCATCAATCGCACTCGTCGGACCAACGCCAAAGTGCCACAGAATTAGGCCTGCTTAAGGCCAAACGTAGGCCTACCTACGTCTACCTATTTAGTAGGAGGAGTCGTAGTGTTCGCCTCCCGGATCAAATCATCAAAGCCTATCATAACCTAGACAGACTACAAGGTTTGATCAATCGGAATCACTTTATTATCTTTTATCACCTTAATTGTAAACATCCTTAATAACAGAAAGATTGTCCAGGAAAGGACACAGTAATCATGTTTAACTGGGCACTCGCTGTGTTTTACAGTGGTCATACGACCGACAGTCAATGAATCCAAATTTGCTCCCTGTAAGCATTGGAACATTTTCCAATTCATGGATTACTGTAGGTAATAAAACATTATCAGTGATCAAAAAACCATTACTTTTCAAAATTCATGGCATTTGATATTCCGAATGGATTTGGCAAAACATTGGCAAAGCCAATGTCATGATATCTTTTTGCCTTAAATTTTAAAGAGATACAGTAATAATATATTTCACAAGATATTTTTTTGGCAAAATATATTTAAACTGTGGACATTGAAAGATGTAGTTTAATTTCATGTATCTATTAAAAGTTAAGAGAGACATTACAAGCATTACTCACATGATAAGTTGATGACGCAAGAAGTAGATTTATTAATTCAAACCTGCGCTTCCCCTGCTTTTTAGCTATGAATATATCTGAAAACACCTAGAGGATAATTAGTTCCCAATATTCATATCATTAATGGCATTCATTAATTTTAATGCATACAAAATATATTTCCATTAAACTGATCAAATGAATGACATTACATCCTTCAATATTAACCACCAAGATGAACAGGAATTAGTTAACATAAACAACAATACATCTGCTGTTAAATTTGCACAAATTATAATTATAGAGTTAAGGATATAATAAATTCTTGTTGAAAATGTTCCAATAAATTTGGATTTTTATATACTTAAAGTTGAAGATTGCATTCTATCAAGGACAACATGCCATTATTTGTAAACTCTAATCAATTTGTTGATGAAGGCTTCACAAATCAAAGGCGGTCATCACGCATGGATCATATTTCACCAAGGGTACTTGAGAAGACTTATTGGCACTATGATGATTTATTGAGTTTACTGTATGTTCAGCACTGAAGAACAAAACTGTCCCTGACCATATATAAAATGCCTCCTCCAAACAAAAATCCTATAAACAATAGCTCAACAGAAATTTTTTTTTTTTTTTAAATATTTTACAGCCTCCAAGAATATGCATGACACCAGCAGTAACCAGTCACGCTGTCTATATCTAAGGTGAGGGGATGAAAGGATATGACTACACACTGCTAGGAGGGGGAAGGTTGGTGAAAAAGTGTTTATAAATAATATGTATCAAAATAAAATTTCAGGAGAGACCTTACAAACAGGTACACCTGATCGGTGTATGGTAAGAATGGCCCCGGAAAAAATGGCCCAGGAAAAAATGGCCCCGGAAAAAATGGCCCCGGTAAAAATGGACAGATAAAAAAAAGCCATTTTATTTTTTTTCCATTTAAATATTAAAAAATAGCAACAACATAATCAATAAATCAACATAAATCATGCATTTATTAATACTAAAATAATTTCAATTTCAAGGAAGCGGAATCACAATTTTCCAGAAATTCAATCCGGGTATTGGTAAACCCCACAAACAATGAGATTATATGAACATCAAATTATTATTATTTTTTTTTTTTTAGAAAAAGAGAGTTCTACAATCGTAATTAAAGGGTTTGGATGGGGTTCGCAGTGCGTTTGGAGGATTGTGGTGTATTTGCAAGTATTTTTTCACCAAAAAAATCAACATTTTAACCAAAAAATAGGTTCTTATAAATATTTTATTTTCTTATTGACCAAGTGAGTCAATAACAATTGAATTGTTTGGTTTTCTACAGTGTGTTTTAGGAGTTTTTTGGGATTTAGCAATACCATTTGATCTACCATAATTACTTTACCCTCACAATTACACACCATTTTAATTCTTAGCATAATTGCCATATTTACATAACTATGTATATAATATAGTATCTCAGTTTACATTATTTAGTATAGTTTTTAGGCACTTAAATTTACTTGGCGGGGAGTAGAAACCAAGTATGCAATTAAATAAGTTGCTTAAATAAATGCCAAAGTCATGAACTTGTCATTCAAACACACAATTGATCCACATGCTTTAACTACTGTTTATTTGCACTGTTTATAACATGTAAAGTTATTTCATTTGATACTTAACAAAAGTGAATTTTGTGGTTATCTAATACCCGATTCACACGTGAAGTTAAATTTAATAAAAAGTAACAAATTGTAACCGAGCGATCTCCCGAGTTATTCCTACTGAGATAAAAATCATTCACACGCGTCTGTAAGGTAATGCCAAGGTTGTGTAAAATTTATTCAGTGTTTATTCAATGAACCATTTTTTCCCCTACTGCGATATAGGTCTAGCCTAGGCCTAGTTGAGAACCCCTGTCACAGATGGACTGTTGAACTCACCATCACTGTAAACATAGATGTGTATAAGAGACAGGTGTTATGTTATAGCAGAATATACAATATTTCAGTTTGCTTTTACACAAAATTATTACAATTAAATAATATATAATACTCAAAAAACTGATACATGTTTGCCTATTCGAGAAATACCATCATTATGGAAAGGCATTATGTATATTTATACATTGTATTATATCATTATATTATAGTAAAAAGACCGACACATCTCGGAAGCTTTACCAGACTCAGCGAGGCTGGTAAAGATTACCGAGACGTGCCGAGATTTTACAAGGATATTACACGGAGGTACTTTCACACGTGCCGTAAAATGTTACTTTTGGTTACATTTTGTTACATTTGGTAAGATTTTTGTACGTGTGAATCGGGTACAAGCGTTGCATATTTTGGTAGTTGAAGTACTGTATGTATGTCATTCCTCTACTTTGTGAGTGGAATAACGTTTTTAAAACTTATTTCAACTATCAAAAAATGTTCAATGGCCGTTGTTTTCTGATAATCTCTCAGTACATTATTTGCATCTGTTGTGTAACGTATTTGTTATTGAATCAATTCTTGCTTATTATAGTATTTAAATATTCGAAGATTTTTTTTAAAAAATATCATTTCTATTACTGAATTTTTTTCATTGGGGCCATTTTTACCTACTTGTCATTTGGGGCCATTTTTACTGGGGCCATTTTTTCCGGGGCCATTTTTTCCGGGGCCATTCTTACCTACATTCATCTGATCATATTGAAGATTCATAAAAACAAGAATTTATATGCTATCTACAGTGGCAGATCCTGGAATTCGAAATAGAGGGTTTCCAGGGAAGGACTTTCACAGATTGAGGGTCTAGACCACTTCAGCACCTCTAGATGGCCGGAAATTGGATGCTTAGACCTAAATTTAATTATAATTTTCCTTTTTTTCTAAAAAATATTTTTTTCAAAAAATTTAAGGGAGGGGAGAGGGGAGAATGTCTGGCTCAGCCCCCACCCCCTTTGAATCTGAGACTGGTGATTGTTGGTGTTCGTATTTGAAAGCTTCCAACAATACGTAACTTCTGCATTTTTGAATATTGTACCCTGAAGTTCATCAATACGTGTGTGGCTCAATCAAGTGAAGGTGATACATCAAAAGACTGAAGAAGAGAAGTCAACACATCAAATCAATACAACAGCAAATGTTGTTAAAAAATTATTGATCCACAAATGCTAAGCTGTTATATTATATATTGTTTTATGTTTGCACAATGTAAGCTAATATATAATGGAACTTGGTTATAAGGCCAAAAAAAAAAATATGTAGGGAACTACACCATACAGTTTGTAAGAGTATACATTACATATCTTGACGTTAGAACATAATTTATTATAGTATTATGTTCTTACCTAACTGTAAGTGGAACCTCAATTTCATGTAGAAGGTTTAAGATGAATGTAGATCAATTCAAAAGCATAACTACTATATTTCGCACTATAAATGTCGAATATAATTATACTGAAGATTAGAATAGTTTCATCTGGTTTATTAATTGTGCTTGGTTTATTACCAATAAAACAGTCCTACAATGATTATACTGAAAATAAGTAAATGTCATCTTCATTCTTTCATTTTATAAGAGATGCG